ATGGAAACTCATTTATATGATGGTAAAATCATGTCATGTCAAATCCATGTATTCCATGTGATAGAAACCACTTCTATCCCTCTCTGGTCATTGAACAATAGCCATGGAAAATGACCGAAAGTAGATGATTTACCCATTTCTTCAATGGCCATCCATTTTCCACGGCAATGTCTTAGATTACCAGAGGCCATTCTCCAAATCCCATTACTCACTCCCATGATAGATTATCACTAGAAAAAATAACCACTGCAAAAATGGAGATTCTATTCATCTGCAAATCCCAGCAAATCCCATTGCTAATCCCATTCATCACTGTTAAAAAATGGACCTTCCCATGGGCAAAAAAAAACCTTGCAACATCCCAGGAATCTCCTGTGACATCAACACTGCAAAGGCCTCTTCCCGTAAGCGTGCCACCAGGCGACTACGGAGCCTCGATCGAGGCTGTAGCTGGAAGATGCTGCAAGGACAGCGAAAACGATCTGCAAATGCATGGAATTTCGATTTTTTATTGTCGTTCATATCATTTAATATCTATAAATAGCGCTTCATGAGAATACTATTTTGGGAAGTCTGCAATTGTATCAATGGGCCTGGGATCAATATCAACCCTCTGACAATCCAACAGTTTGCCATCGAAAATGGCCCTGGAAATAATGCGTGTGAATTATCTACTTTCATAGGCGTTGTTCCATGTTTGCCGGTTAAATTACCGGCAGGCAGTACCCATATGCGATGAGTCGGGAAACCATTTGACGCAGCTGAGCATAGAGGAGAGACATAGAAGGTTCAAAAAGGACCTAGAAATCTTTGAGGTTGGTGGCCCATAGTAGAAAACACACTAACCCTGCATGAAAAATCATTCAAAAATGGGTCGACCTGGGTATCGATGTCAATAAAATCATTGCAAACACTGGACGGCTTCGTTTTTGTTACTTTGGCATAAACATACATAAACTGATCTTGTTTGTCTAGAAGCAGGGTCAATTGATGGAAATCATGCCAGTTTCCCACTAGACGGATAGACCATGATAGACCCATACCGTATGTTTCTGGTAGTCGTTGATGTTTGACATCTGCATAAGCCCATTGAATGGTAATAGTAATAGGCTAATAGGAGTAATGGGATTAGTAATGGGATTGGTAGTGGGATTGGTACCAGTAATGGGATTTTTCTTTGGTTAACACCAAGCTGCATGTTGAAAGCAAAGTTCCGCAGCCCCTCTGCAGCACCGCCCAAGAGTGCCACGGCGGCAACAGCCAGACAGCGTGGCAACAGCAGTTGGCCACGGCCCTGTGCTCCGGCGAGATCCAGTTCTGAGGGAAACCCATTCGGAAAAGGATCATTCAGGGTGGGTTTTCCACAATGTTAGTTGACATTGGGGTATGAAGATCAAACTATCTGATCATACAACTATCTACCCTTGGTACATCTTGGTACACTAGATCATTCAACTATCCACTCTTGGTTGGGATATCCTTACTGCCGTTGGTGGATATTGTGTGGGGCTGGTACAACACCAGAACCAATCATCAACCAACAAAAGAATATCATATGTGGTCATATATCCCCACTATATATCCCCATGAAATGAAAAATCATCATCAGCTAACCATGCTTCATCGCTTATAACCATAAACTATTTCCATACGTGTATATATATATATTTGTATATATCAACCCTGGAGCCATATATATATACATTATATTATATATATACAGTTTATAGATAGATATATCCCGATAATATGTTCTTATGTTTTTGTGCTTACCCTCTGGTAAACTAGCATAGCGAAGTGGAAAATCACCATTTTTAATGGGTAAATCAACGATGTCTGCCATGTTCAAAAGCTACCACGGCGACCCGCCAGGTGACTTGCACTGCTGCGAAGAGTGCCGCAGCCGCCAGGGGCGGCGATGCCAACTCAGCACAGGAGGACAGCAGGAGGCCTCAGGAGATGGCCATTTCAGGTATAGTCCGTATAGTAATCAACATGTAATAAAAAGGATTAAAAAAAGGTATCTAGAATATATAATTTCATATAGTCACCAACTATAATAAAATCAACTATCATGGAAGATAGATAATAATGATTGATATTCATGGATATTTTTCTGGAGGTGTTTAATGTTTCGGGAGAAGGGATATCATGGCTATGTTGCACAAGAAATTGGGGGTTAACTTGATTTAACCAAGGACAAATGATAGAATTGTACAATGGGGATAATAGTGGCTATTTAACGAGGATATCGCGGGGATATAACCAAAAAAAACATGATTTGGGCATGTCTGAAAATCTGATATGAACCCCGAAATTTATGCCAAGTTGAAGCGGGAAACCAGGCGATAAATCGCGCTGGTTTAATGGCGATTAAACCTATTACTTGTCGGGATATTTCATGGAAGATAAACAACCATATATATCATATATGTTGAGATTGGTTTGGTTTGAATCATTTTAAAGGAAACAATATTCTTGTACCACAACACCGGAAAGGGTTCCGCTTTGAGTTGTCACGTGATCTGTCCCTAAAGAAGATAGACGCCAATATGCCCCGGGGCCACACTGTTCAGCCATGACTTTTCTATCTTTATGAAGATTGCAACGATTGCTATATCATGCTATATCTATAGATCATGTCCCTTGTTCAAGTTGATTTTAACATATTTTAACTAATGTAGTCGCGGTTGGCCACTCAGAAACCATCAGAATCCCAACTGCTCAGTATGAACAAGTCATCAGCTCCGGATCTGGGGTCACTGCCAGCACTTCCCAACGCCAGCCAAACATAATCGATACCTCCACAACAAGAATCACTGACGGTGGACCCAAACTTTACCCAAAAATTCACCTGGTGGTCCAGTCTTGAGGGAAACCAAAGGACTGGTTGCTTTTGGACATGTCATGACGCATATTGATGGATCTTTTTCTCAAAACAGAGGTGCCTGTTCTTTGACACATCTTTTGACTCGAGATGTGCGCCTCGCAGTAAACGCAGAAGTTGACCTACAAGCTGTGCACGACTTTGGTGCCTCTCCTGCGTGGCCCGTAGCCCCTTGCTACAGTCGATTGGGGTCGGAAAACAGGGGGAAACCTCAACAGAAATTCGATCCCGAAAAAATGGGATCCAGCATTTCGATGCCAAAAAAATGAAGGAACCGAACTCCTAGGCCCCAAAGTCCTCTTGTAAGCGATGCTTTGCACCCACTCCTCACAGGTGCGTGGGAGCCACTACAAGTAGGAGATTTCCAGCTTAAAACCAACAGGGGCTGAAAGAGCACAACTGGTGCCTGCAGCACAGAGGGCCGCACTTTGCTGCCAGCAACCTGACCTCCTGCCATGGTCAAAACTCGGTGTAATCTGTCTTGGTGACGTTTGAATGTTACAATATGTTACAGCTACCGGGAACAATACAGCGAATCTAACGAAGAAGATTGGGAATATCAAATTTGGCATCTGCGATCTGTGATTGGAGAATCTCAATGTTCGGCATGGCGCATTTTATTCCACATGTTCCACAAATAAGTGTTGAACAGCCTGACTCCACTTATCTCCTTTGTAACGGAAAAACTGACGCTGCCGTTCGTCCAGAAGATAGAAAGAAAGGAATGACGATGATGCTTTTTCAGCTGAGGATGATCAACGATGATCGTGATCACGATGATAGATTTCTGATGATAAAAGCTGTTCAATCATTGTATAACCCATGACGGATCCATGGTGCTGCCATATATGGTAACATGGATCCCATCAATATACCCCCTTTATGTTAGCATATATACCAGCACCATGGATCCTACGGGTAATGATGAGAATGGGAAGGTATCTAAGTCTAAGCCCCCACAGAAACCTCCGGTGCTAGCCTCCGGTGCAACGGCACCGGAGATTGGGGAGCTCGAAAGCGCGGCAGGGAAACACCTGCGGCATTTTTGGGGATTCCCATCATGGGTCATAAGAATCCCCAATGTTTATATCAACTATAGTTATTATAAATGATGACTTGGTTTATTATCAAATCTGACTATGGTTAGTTATAATGACTAGGGTAGTTATAATAACTATAATATCGACTATAATAACCTATAATAAATCATGACTTGGTAGTATATATATATATATCCCTATAATAAACTTGGTAGTTTTTTTGGTCACTGCTCCCATGAGTTCGGATGGGGATTCATCCATTCACGGGGAAGCCCTCCGTTGATTAAAAAAAAAAGCCAAGCAGTGAGAAAAGGACATACAGTATATGATTCAAATGGAAAATGGGAATTTACTGCTTGGCAAATGGTATGGATGGGCTTGGAAATTGGATGAAATTGGTATATAGAATGTGTTCACATGATAGATAACCATCTTGGAATTGGTATATATACCATCTATGAAATTGGATGAAAACCATCTATGAAATTGGTATAAAAATAACTATAAAATTCCATAGATGGTTTTCTGCAGGGATGGCACCCAATTGATGTTCATCCAAAGATGTGATGAATTCTCAGGATGCTGGATGGGCTTTCCCAAAAAATCGGACAAAGAAAGTTTTCTGTCCATACACCTTGGAGATCTTCCAAAAAAAAAAGCCATCTCCGCCGAATGACAAGGTAGGCTTTATAAATCCTCCCTAATAATGCCTAACGGTTATCATGGGTTATTAATCCATCTAAATCCCGGGATAACCATGGAATAGGCCTCATCCAGCCAGCAAAATTTTGGGAGTCAGGTCTTCTTCTTCACCCAGTCACACCTTGCACTGCCTTTGAGGAACACAGCAACGGTACATTTGGGGCGTTCAGTGTCATGGGCTCATGAGAATGGTTGGTGCTTGAGTCACCTATCCTTCCATATGGAGCCGAGGTCAGATATCCACAAAATATTGAATGGAAAAGTTAACGAATATCTGCGTGTGTGAAAATATGGTAGCCTTGTATCATCTTATATCCACTACTTACTCATCATGGTATACCCCATGTTGAGACAGGCTCATCTCATAATAGCAGATACAAAACATCTCAGGAATTCCAGGCTGATTCTTCCATTTATTCCCATGTGTCATGGTTTCATGAGCCCAAGTGGCTGCACCAAGATCTTGTTTGAAGCGATGACACTGTCCTTTGGTTTAGAGTTTAGGGAACATGTTATAGGAAACCAATAGATTTGACCGCCAAATATGGAGGTTTCCTGTAGATTTTCCCTTCAACGAACTCTTGGACTTCTGCCTTTGCCCCGACATTCCAACCGCTGACGAGCACTCAGTTCGTTTTCCGCTCGCCACTCAAAAGTTGGACGTGGAAAGAGTGAAACGCAGCAACGCATCCTGCCACACCAGGCTGTTGCCAGGCTGTAGCAGATAATTACCCGGCCGTGCCATATCAATCCATACCATATCAATCCATATCATACCAGCGGAGCATCTATCATGATGCGAATCATTGCACATGACTCGTGGTTCACATCGGACATCTCTCTTCAGGATCCGTCACCGCTATGGTGAAACAATTCCCTCTGCTGTGCAACTAACTGGCAAATGGATTGTTTGCGCATAATGATGACAGTTTTAGAAACAGCCAAGGCCTGAATAGGGCCGATGTTTCATTTTGGTTTGTTCATTGTTCGAATCAAAATACACCTTGAAAAAGCACATCAATGATGATGCTCAAAAGTAGGGAGCATAACAGATTTTACCCTCTGGTTATGTCAAAATAGCTATTGAAAATGGTGATTCATAGTGGATTTACCCATTAAAAATGGTGCGCTTACATGCGCTTACCGTGCTTCACTGTTTGCCAAATGCTGCCGGTCAAGCTCTCGACCTAACGAAGCAGCACAGCGGCGAAGTTGAAGCACGTTCGAACGCAAGTGCGAGTTGCAAGTTATGTGTAGCTGAAATAACATGGTTTAACCATCATTCAATGGAAATATGTGGATATCAATATTATGTATATATATATATATAATACATATATAATACATATATATCCGCCGACCCCGGCCTTTGCCAAGGCAGGGGCGGCGCCTGGGACCACCGGAGGTGTGGAACTTGGCTTTCGGGTCGCAAGCAAAGGCACACGCCATCAAGGCAACACCTCTGTCAGCTACATGCCCCAGCCATCTACATGCTCCTGCCGAACTCTTACACCTACATGCCCCTGCCATCTGTTTTTCAGGACGTTCAAGACTGCCGTTTGCCCGGCCTCAAACCCTCCAAATGCTTCCGCAGGCCTCCAAGGCAACAACTCTTACAGCTACTACATGCCCCTGCCATCTGTTTTTCAGGGGGTTCAAGACTGCCGTTTGCCCGCCCTCAAACCCCCAAACGCTTCCAACCCTCCCGCAGGCCTCCAAGGCAACAACTCTTACAGCTACTACATGCCCCTGCCATCTGTTTTTCAAGGGGTTCAAGACTGCCGTTTGCCCGCCCTCCCCCAAACGCTTCCAACCCTCCCGCAGGCCTCCAAGGCAACAACTCTTACAGCTACTACATGCCCCTGCCATCTGTTTTTTAGGGGGTTCAAGACTGCCGTTTGCCCGCCCTCAAACCCCCCAAACGCTTCCAACCCTTCCGCAGGCCTCCAAGGCAACAACTCTTACAGCTACATCCCCTGCCATCTGTTTTTCAGGGGGTTCAAGACTGCCGTTTGCCCGGCCTCAAACCCTCCAAACGCTTCCGCAGGCCTCCAAGGCAACAACTCTTACAGCTACATGCCCCTGCCATATGTTTTTCAGGGGGTTCAAGACTGCCGTTTGCCCGGCCTCAAACCCCC